GAAAACGCTCCGCCACCACTTGGTCCAGAATGACCTATAGCCAACAAGTAGGCAAACGTTTTGAATGGGTAATTGAAGGATTGTTCGTTTGGTATGTAGAAATCATGAGAGCCTGGGAGGCTATTGTAAAATTAGCAGAGGAAGTAGAAATAGGCTTCAACACCACCAATGAAGCTCTATTCCTGCTAAAGAAGCAGTTACAAGAAACCTCAAAGATGACGATGCAAAATTGACTTGCCCTAGATGCTATGTTACTTCATAATGGAGGAGTATGCAAATATCTAAATTTATCTGATGAGTATTGCTGTATTTCAATCCCTAATGTGACCATACCGCTAACGGCTCAACTGGAGTTAATTAAAAAGGCCGCTAAAGGTGCTAATGCCATAGCGAAAGTAAGCAGTGGTTGGCTCGCGGACCTTTTTTCCAGTTTTGGTTGGAATTTTTCCTTGTTAGCAATGCGCATACTCGCCCCATTATTAACCCTGTTAATACCTCTATTCAGCTGTTTACTGTGTGTTTGAGTAGGATGTTGTGTCATTGATTCAATCAAAAAGAAAGTCCTAACACTATCAGCCTTAGTTTACACTCAAATACCTAATCCTTCCGAAGACGAGGACTTTGAGTGTGTGTCTATGACCAGTATTAGATAAATTAACGATGTATCCATGTTTAATCATATAACAATTTGGCAGTAGTCAAGGGGGCATGTCAGGAGGTGATGTGACTCCACCAGATTGTTGGTTAATCATGCGGACAGTGCGTGATCGCTAGTAGCCTAACCAATCAGAAGTTGCCCCTAGAGTGTGACTGGCCAGACCAGCATGCTGAGGCCTCCAGAATGTTCCATCAAGGGGGGACCCTGATTGGCTAGGGAGTCTATAAAGGGAACTGCGCGCCTCAGCGTAGGGTTCCCAGACGCTCCTGAACTCAGGAAGAGAGCCTGATCACCTGTCTTGTCTGGACAGACCCCTAGGCCTCTAGCTAGATTCCTAGCATAGGCTACCACAGCTTATAGCTAGACCACACGCTATCTGGAACGCCCTGTGTGTTGCCCAACTAGGCATCATACTTGTACTGATAGTATTTTCGGCTGCAGTCGACCTTCACGATTACACCTTGCTTGTTACTCGCCGCTACCCATCAGTTGTTCGTTTTTCTACCTGCACCACGTCGTCTGTGTCTACCTGCCACTGTAAATCGTATTCAACTCGTTAATCATGTTGGTTTGTAAGTACATTTATGAATTTTCTTCACCTACGACTTGTCGCGCTTTTTTCCTCTCTCACACTTGGCATCCCCGAGCGTGTCTGGGTTGGTGTCACTACTCAGTGCCCCACTCGACACGCAACTGAGGCCATTTTCCAAACACCATCCTTGAATTATGGCCCACAGAAAGGAAAATCTAAAAAAGATAGACATATCTATTATCCACAGCACTGGTTTTGCTATTGAAACCAAGACTGTTACTCAAATGTTGAAATATCTGGTTGGCATCAGCAAGCATCTTATGACCCATTGTCTTCCACTGACCAGCAGAAACATGCAAAAGTCATCAGTGCATACACCACAACCATTGATAGAGATGACTAAACTAAGAAAAAATTCAGTTCTAAACTCAACCAAGTCCTGTGATCTGTCCCCAAAGAAGATAACATCATTCTTCTTGATGATTTCAATGCTAGAGTGAGCAAGGACTCTGAGCTATGGAAACAGAATAAAACAGCTGGGAATAGAAGAGCTGGGAGTGGAATTCTCCTCCTGAGCAAGTGTTTGGAACATGATCTCAAAATCACAAACTCTTTAGTCCATCAAATCAGCAAATGGAAGACATCATGGATGCACCCCTGCTCAAAACACTGGCAACTGACTGCCTATGTCATAGTGTGTGCCCAGGACCATCGTGATGTCCATATCACCAGAGCTATGACTAGCACAGATGACTGCTGGACTGAACATTGTTTGATACATTCTATTATGTCCATTCATATTACCCCAAAACAAAAGAAGCAAAAGAAGCAACCAAGGAAGATATTTAATATTGAGTGCCTGAAAGGCCCTGCTAAAAACAATCCTTCCCAGCAGCGCCTTTGTGACACCATTGATCACTGGAAAAGCCTCAAGAAAGGCATCCATGAAGCATGTGAAGAATCTTCACAAAGAAACATCAGGACTAGTTTGATGAGAATGATCAGGAAATTCAAGCTCACACTGACAGAAAAAGGAGAGCTTCAAAGCTTGGCAAAATAATATCAACTCCAAACAGAAACAAGACACTTAGCACCCCATTAAAGAGGAGACCCAGAGGAAAATTTGAGAGCAAAAAAACAAGCAGTGGGAGAACAAAGCAAGAGATCCTAAAGTTGGCTGAGTTACAGTATTCATGGTTTCTTCAGCATGACCAAAGCTACCTATGGGCCAAGCACACAAGGAGTCATCCTTCTGAGGTCTAAAGTGGCTGGTGGCTGCCTACAAGCTCATCAAGGGGGATCAACAGCAAACAGGCAGAGCTCTTTTCTCCCCAGCACCACCTGGGGTGATGAGGAACAATGGTCATAAGCTGATGGAGAATAGGTTTAGGTTGGAGATCAGAAGGCAATATTTTATAGTTAGGGTGGCCAAAATCTAGAACCAACTTCCCAGGGAAGTGGTCCTCGCCCCTACCTTAGGCATATTCAAGAGGAGGTTGGACGATCACCTGTCTGGGGTCTTGTGAACCCAGCATTCATTCCTGCCTGTGGCAGGGGGTCAGGCTAGATGATCTGTTCAGGTCCCTCCTGACCCTAGCTACTATGAAACTATGAAGCATAGAACAGCACTCTTTAAAGAGAACTCTGCCATCAGTCCACAGTGGAAGAAACACTTTCAAGAGCTTCTGAACCAAGATTTCTAATGTTGGTGAGAATACCATCAACACTATTTCACAATATCCCATTAAGGACTACCTTACAGACCCACCAACCTATCAAGTGGCCTTGAAAGACACTGAGCAAAATGAAGAACAAAGCATGTGGTCCTGATGAAATACCAACTGAAATTTATAAGCATGGTATGAAAAAGTTCTCTCACCAGCTAGATACCTTTTTCTGAAAATCTGGAAACACGAACAGATTCCTAGTGACTTGAGAGATGCCAGAATCATAACCATATTCAAGAAAGGAGGTGGATCAGACTGTTGCAATTACCATGGCATTGCACTCCCATCTATAACTGGGAAGATCCTTGCTGAATTCTCAATAGACTCACTCCCCTCACCAAGAAGATTCTACCTGAGTCCCAGTGCAGTTTCAGACCGTTCACAGGTACAACAGACACACTGTCTTGCTAGTCAAATATAGAAGTGTCATAAGCAACATAGAGATCTTTATGTGGCCTTCATTGACCTAAGGCCTTTGATTCAATCAAGAGTGAAGAGATCCTGAGGAGATTTGGATGTCCAACAAAATTTGTTACCACCATCAGACTTCTTCATGATGGCATGGCAGCAACCATTCTAAGAAATAGCTTAGACTTGGGCCCCTTCATGATTAGAAACAGAGTCAAGAAAGGATACGTGATTGCACCAATACTTTTTTCCATCTATAGTGCAGCTATTCCTCAGCTGTGCCATATCTGCACTTGAACATGCACGCAGAACTCAGACTGGTCTCATCAGTCATCTCTGGACTCACCAATGACTTCCCTATCGTCTGGAAGACTGTCATCCTCATATCAAAGGACTGCTGATGGCGATGAGACACAAAATGGAACCAGAACCCTAGCCTATAAAATAAAAGCTCCTGCAGAAGCTATGCAGACTTGGATCAATAAAAGAGGTAATATCCAACTGCCCCAAATAAAGCTAGTTCCACAGGAAATTCATCTGGACTTGGCAGTGACTGGCCGCTGTCTGATTTACATGACATTTAAGAGAATTTAATAGTGAAAATGAATTAGTTTAAATATGAATTGTGACCAAAATATTACTCTAACCATACATAAAAATAAAATTCAAAAACTGCATTAATTTACATTTTTTTCAGCCATTCAATTTTTTTCCTTTTTCTTCTCGTTTCAACATCTTGCTTCCTCTTCAGCTTAGAGAAATGAAATTGTATTTCCTTTTTGTTGTCTTCAGTTGTGAAAGGATCCATGCTTTTCCAAGCCTACAGGAAAAAATAAGGTATTGTTGGTATAGTTTCATAAAAACACCACTTTTTTATATCCTTAGCTACACCTGCTTGTTTACAGGTCACATGATTTGTATTTTTACACTGAGAATATTCACAGAATTACTACTCGTCTATTTTACTTAAATGTGGAGCATAAGATCCCATATCAAGATTAGCCTTGTGTCTTTCACAGTAACATGCAAGATGTCTGTTTTTTCTTCCAAAAATTGATTCAGGGGTAATTGATTCTTTAATATACCTATTTAGTATGATGAAGAGAAAAGTTTGGATAAGATACAGAAAAGCAATGCAGTAATCACTGAAATAAAGGCCAAACATAGATTAGACTTCTCCACAAAGCATCAGTACAGTTACTCAGAGGTTGTCACTGAAGAAGAATGCCATTTGTTAATGAAAACTATAGCTGCTCTCTCTCATGCCTAGACCAGTTCAGTCTCCAGACAAGAGAAGCAAGAAGATGGCTTAGATGCGCTTTTGCCTCCCTGCATGTTCATATGCTGAGTAATCCAGCCATACAATTTGTGGTGACTAATACCTGAGATGAGACTAGGCTTCTTGCAGTCTTTTGTGGGATTCAAATAATTCCCTGAATACTGTGGTTACTCTGGGGACCCCTCTATATGCGCTGGTAAAGGCGAGATAGGATCTAATGCATGATCCACACAGTCACTCCTCCTCCATGACACATGTGCATGGCACCAGGCATGGTTGTGGGATCGCAGATTAGATCCCATCACACCTTAGTACAGGTGCAGGGGGAGCCTGACGGGGCTCCCAGCCATGGGGGTGCACTATGCATCTCTGCAGCTGGGAGACCAGTCACTGTGATCTCCCAGCTGTGGGGACACAATATGCATCCTGTGGCTGGGAGACTGCTGCTGCTGCTGTGGGCTCCCAGCCATAGGGTATGTCAGGTGCCCCTGAAGCTGGGAGTCCTGGCAGCTCTTGAGGCCACCAGCTGCAGGGGCATGCGCTCCTGTGGCTTGGAGCTGGTGTCAGCTGGGAGGTTCCAAGCTTAGGGACACACATGGGCCCCCCCAGCTGGGATCTGGGCTCCCAGCTGTGGAGAGAAAAGGCTACATGTGCAAATTACATACTTTATAGCTAGTTGGGCCTTTATAAGGTTCCATAGTTAATTTGCTTTCATAGCCAGCCTAAATTAATTGCACAATTAACCAAATAATTGTATCATACATATAACATATAGAGGGGGCCTGTGTTTTCTTACCTTAGTAAACATATTTGTTTCAGACCTGGACAAGATCTCATAGCATCATACCCACTATCACTTAATCATATTTATTATGTTGTTCAGTGGCCTAATGAGAAAAAATATGCTACAAATAAATTATTGTGATGTTTTAAGAACATCTCACAGCAAGCGATTGATCATGAGTCATAATTTCAAATGAAAATAAAGATCTTGCACATTTTGACGTGATCCATGTGAGGAAAATTAAGTCCTAGAGCAGGTTTGACATATGTAAGATAAAAAAAAAGGAATTAACAACATTTTAGAAAAGAAAAATAAATGTTTTTCTTTGCTTACTTTGGCAGAAAGAAGTCTCCAACCATTGTTCTCTACACGTTTGTACCAGCCACTGCCATCATCTTTCCAAATCTTTCCATGAATCTTTTCTGTCAGACTCTGTTTGGATGCCAACTTTGAATAATCTTTAGGGCTGTTAGCACACATATCTACAACAGGTCTATGAGTGAATATTTTATAGTATATATTTGGAGGATAGCTGGTCTGTAGACAAGAATAACATTTGTAAACTAGAGGTCCAGTTAGTAACAAATTCTGTTAGTTAATTCTTTTTAAAAATTGTTAGTTCTTTTAAAAAAGTGTTAGTTCATTCTTTTTAAAAATTGTGCAAATTAAGCCCTCACCAAACTCCACTGATGTCAATGGGTTTAATGAAACAATCCCTTATTCATTTCAAAGTGGGTGAATACTAGAAAAATAGGCTAACACTGGATGATCTGACTGATTTATTATAACTGTACATGTACTTAAAGCTCCAGTCCTGCACTCAGTGACGTCAGTGAGAGTTTTGCCATTAATTCTGTATGTGAGGCAACTAGTGCCTCAAGTGCATGCAACACTTACAGGTATTTGCTGTAGTAAGTAAAAAGGAGAAGTTTCCTGCGAAGAGAAAGCTGGAGTAGAAAATGCTTAAAAATGAGAAGTTAAATATGCACTGTGTATTAAGCATGGCTACAAAAGTCTAGATTTGTAGGATTTATTTCCAAATCCAGTACAATCACCACAGGGACTTTTTGTTCATCCATTTGTCCCTCTGTAAAATAGCAATGATCATTTACTTGAAGCAATTTAATAGCCTCAGGTAAAAAGTGCTGTGTACATGCAAATTAATAATATGCTTACTTAATAGACCTTACTGATGCTCTAAAGATAAGAAATAAATAATCTGATAGGTTGCAACACAAAAACTAAAACCTTGTCACTTCTTAAAAAACTAGTCATCCACCCAAACAGTTAAGTCACTGTAGCTACAGTCACTTTCACTGTAGAACTGCATTAAGTTAAAGCAATCCCCTCTCTGTCAGAGGTGCTGTATATTTAACCAACCAGTAGTGGTCCATCTTTTATGGCATGAATTAAAAAAAATGTAGATTAGCAGGCTTGATTCAGTAATCCAAATCTCTTAGTACTAGAAGGAGGAAAAAAGGAAAAAAAATCTGCTAATCCATGCTTCAGGGTTGTTGGTTGTAGCCATGTTTATCTAAGGACATAGGCAGATGTGTAGATGTGATATCTTTTATTAGATCAACTAAGTAGTTGGAAAAAATGTTCTTTGCAAGCTTTTAGGCACAGACACCCTTCTTCAGGCATAAGGAGAGTCTGCTGGTGTTTCGTGTGCTCTCCTGGGTAGAATAGAAGCCAAGATACAAAATGCAGATCTGTGAAAATGCAAATGTGTGGCAGTGTGGGTGAAAGGGAATGGGAGACAATAGGTGAGAGACAGGTAGGTGTGGGGGAAGGGGAATGTTGAACTGGTGATAGAATGTAGCTGGCAAATGCAGACAGGTTACCTGGGGTTATCAGATGTCAGGCAGGTTATAATATGCCATAAAGCAAACATCTATACTTAGTACATGATTTTTTGTATCCGGTAGATTTATGAAGCGAAGTTCATAGGCTCATCTACAAAAGGTGTTTTGTAAATTCCCTTTGAGGATTAGAATTTACAGATTGGGGTGATTGGTTATCTTGTGAGAAGTGTGTAACCACAGTAATGTATATTTTTGTCTTTGCGCACACACCGAAAATCTATCAGAGACAAAAATATCCAATTACCTGTGAGGACTGATATAGAAGCACTAGAGACGAGGCAGACAATAAGAACATTAATAGGTAATTACAGCATATATTTTCTCCTGGTGCTTTTTCGATGGAAACTGTTATGATGATTGGCAATTGTAGATGTCTCTCTCCATAAACTGAAAATAAGATCCTGGAAACATTATGTTACATTGGGCAGTCTTGTAAATATACTGCAACTATTACAATTTAAAATGTTTGACTAGTTCTCATTAAAATAGCCATTTTTTCATATTTGTATTTTATCAGGGAGTCAACCTTTGGTAAGTGGAGGAAGTAGGACCCAAGTAACTATAGGCCTGTAAGCCTCACCTTGGTGCTCGGGAAGATCTTGGAGAGAATCATCAAGGAACACATCTATGGAGGGCCTGCAGGGGAGATCATGCTCGGGGCAATCAGCATGGGTTCATCAAAGGCAGGTCCTGCCAGACCAACCTGATTGCCTTTTATGACCAAGTAACTAAATCCTTGGATGATGGTGTCGCTGTGGACATAGTCTTTCTAGACTTTAAGAAGGCCTTTGACA